GAGAAACTGATCAGTGTGAAAGTAGCCTAAAAGTGTATTTAGGAAAATTAGAGGATAGCCAGAAAACCTGCTGATCCCAAGAACCTCTTACGCGTTAACCTCAGGTACCAACTTTCGGACCTTACACACCTGTGTTCCATGGTAAAAGATCACAGGGCTATGTAGGTCTAGCCAAAAACAACTGCTAAATGATCAAGTAAGACAGACCCAGTATACCACTAATGCAGTAAAACAGAAAACTAACCACATAAAAAAAGAGTTTGGCAACCACTAGATAACAGACCAGCCCACCATTTATGCATGTACTGCTTAATGCTCATCCTTAGACCCAGTACTGCTAGTCCATCCTTTAACTATTCTATTAAAATGAACACTGTTTTTCTTGTATTGTTCTAGTGCTCAAATATTGCAGCTATCTTCATTGTCAACTGCATTCTCTCACCAAAAATAAAATAAGGGTTTATAATTGCAACTGCACCTCACTATGTAGGTAGGGAAGATGCATCCATAAAGTGTGTAGGATGATAGGTAGATGAGCGCTGAAAGATTTTATAGAGCAACCAGCAAGGCAAATTGGGTTTGATTTGCTGCTACTGCTTGATAACCCATACCCTGGATGACCATAAACCTTCATGAACATTCTGGATAATACATCCCATAATTAGGGACTTGTAAATGAATGCCATCCAGTCCAGCAAATCAGAAGGAACTTTTTGGACTCGAGGAACCTAAACTTCAATTCTAAAACAACAGAAGAGGCCCTAAATAGCCCCAGATTAAAAGTGTTTAGGAGCATTGGTTGCCTAATCCTGGGATCTGTCCAACCCCCAACAACAAATACAGCTGACTTTATTTCTACATCTTCAATCAACTCCTGTATATCCTCTAAAGGCTCATTTTCTTGAGACGTAAATAGCATGGCAATTACCATAAAATCTGCCAAATCTATTATGCAATCTGTGTTTTGGTAACACTTACCCAGAAGCAGCAGGACAAGGCAGAAATGCTGAAGTGAGTTCAGAGAGTGAGTTTCCACAATGTTCCACGGATATGTCCTCCTGGAGTTTTATTCCCTTCCTTCATTGTAATGACAAAGAAAGAGATTCACTTGTTGGGTTTCCTAAGAGACAGCTCTCTAGTGTTCAGACAGTCACCCTTCGAGCTATGTAAACAATATGCCACTCTTTGCTTGGAAAACGAATCCCTGGATAGTAAAATACTAAAATGTCAGTCAACAGAGAAACTGACAAATAAAAAAGCCTACATTAGCATCAATGTAACTTGGTACACAAGTGCTAGAATATGGTCTAAAAACCAAGTTCTTTGATTGATTTGATTTTAATTAATACATTTTATTTTTGAACAATGATATATTCTCCCAAACTTTTTACAGACAATGGTACCATTCATGTCATTCTCTGCTGCAGTGAAACTTATACCATTGCATGAAGCTCACACAGTATTAACTAATTGATTACCAGTGTGGCACTATTCCACATGGTGGTACTAGAGCCGCCTATATAGGGAGAGGTAGAAGTGACACGGGATGCAACAAAGTTTTTTTGGGGGGGTTGCACACAGTGCATAGCTCACCCCTAAATCTTGCACTCTGCATAACACACCCTTGAACCCTGCACTCTATATGTAACACACTCCTGAACTCTACCTAGTCTTACGGAAACAACTGGCCCCTTTGAGGGCAACCATAATGTTGGTACTGTCGCAATGAAATTTAGTTTTGAGACTCCTGTATTATAACATAGTATCAGGAGAGTTCACTTGCAAAACACACCTGGGTAGAGGCCTTTCACTTCTCTCATTAGCCCTCTCGCTGCGGCATTCCAACATAAGAACTTTACAGACAATATTTCTTATAAATGAGGTGCTCTCTATATTTCTAGACCAGTGAACATGTAGGTGTATTGTCCTCTTTCTTTACCCTTTACTTCTGTGGCAGCTTTTCAGATGGAAAATGGTTAAGCCTCTTTTACACGAGCTTCTGGGGAGCTGTCAAAACAGGTGATTGAGTTGCTGTTTTACTGCTCCCTGACTTCCCACCTAAAGTCTATAGGCTAAAGGCTTGCTGGGCATTGAGGAGACCAAGGGACCTTACAAAAGGCTCTTGGGCATTGTGGAGGCCAAGGGACCTTGAGGAAGCCTTGCAGGCATTGTGGAGGAGGGGGCCCTTGGAATTTGAAGACTGCTGGGTATTACAGGCAAGAGGGTCTCAAGGACCTTGAGAAATGCTGCCAAGAATTGCAGAGGGGGGACGGGACCTTGTAAAGGTCTGGTGAACATTGCACAAGCATGGGCCCAGACACCTCAAGAAAGCCAGCTGTCAATTACAGAGGTTAGAGGACCTTAAGGAGCATTCTGCCCACTGACCGCCAGTGAAAGGAACATTCTGTCCTCTGACCACCAATGAAAGGAATATTCTTCCCACTGACCACCAATGAATAGAATATGCTGCCCACTGACCACCAATGAAAGGAGCATTCTGCCCACTGAACACCAATTGAAGGAATATTCTTCCCACTGACCACCAATGAATAGAATATGCTGCCCACTGACCACCAATGAAAGGAACATTCTGCCCACTGAACACCAATGAAAGCAATATTCTTCCCACTGACCACCAATGAATAGAATATGCTGCCCACTGACCACCAATGAAAGGAGCATTCTGCCCACTGAACACCAATGAAAGGAATATTCTTCCCACTGACCACCAATGAAAAGAACATGCTGCCCACTGACCAAAATGAAAGGAACATTCTGTCCACTGACCACCAATAAAAGCAGCATTCTGCCCACTGAATGTAAGGGGCATTCTGCCCAATGACCATTAATGTAAAGAGCATTCTGCCTACTAACTACCAATGAAAAGAGCATTCTGCCCACTGACCAACAATATAAAGAGCATTCTGCCCACTGACCAACAATGTAAAGAGCATTCTGCCCAATGACCACCAATGAAATTACATTTTATTTTTATTACTGAAAATTATTTTGTTGTATAGAGCACCCCTGGATGTCAAATATGCTCAGTGCACCACGTCCTTTTTCTTTTATTTATTCTTATCACTATAGCTAAAGCTGGCTACACACAGATTGAATATTGTCAGTTCCCTGCTGAATCTGCTGAAATTCAAGCAGTGGATGACTCTGCAGGCACCACCCCTCTCGACAAACTTTGAGGATTGAAGGAGCCCAGCTGGAAACTGTCAGCTAAACAGTCTGCTTCTGTTGGAGATTCTGTATATAACCCTTCAGAAAACACTATGAACAGTCCACATGTGCTTTTCTCTGCTTTGCTGCAAGAAGGAAACAGGAAACTTTATTCAGAGAAAAGACATAGAGTTTTATCATAGAAGCAGCTACAACTTATAAACACTGCCATCTACTGGTTGAAGAATATATCTCTACTGAATGCTGATGTTGCTGTTGCACAAAATACATGACACACTGATTTCTAACAGCATCCAATCAGATGGCATCACTGTTTGGGTATTCTGAGAGCTGGGTCACTGGCTACTGGGAGATTTATCCATCTATGAAGCAGTTTAGCATGGATGAAGGAATCTGTTTTATTTAATTTGTTCATCCTACAGGCTGAACAAAAGAAATCTATGCATGTATGGCCAGCTTTAATGTTCTGGTGAGCTGTATATATAAACTCACCGGCCACTTTATTAGGTACACCTGTTCAATTGCTTGGTAACACAAATTTCTAATCATCCAATCACATGGCAGCAACCTAATGCATTTAAGCATCTAGATGTGGTGAAGACAACTTGCTGAACTTCAAACCGAGCATCAGAATGGGGAATAAAGGGGATTTAAGTGACTTTGAACGTGGCATGGTTGTTGGTGCCAGGCGGGTTGGTCTGAATATTTAAAAAACTGCTGATATGCTGGGATTTTCACTCACAACCATCTCTAGGGTTTACAGAGAATGGTCCGAAAAAGAGAAAATATCCAGTGAGCAGCAGTTGTGTGGACAAAAATGCCTTGTTGATGTCAGAGGAGAATGGGCAGACTGATTTGGGATGATAGAAAGGCAACAGTAACTCAAATAACCACATGTTACAACCAAGATATGCAGAATACCATCTCTGAACGCACATGTCGAACCTTGAAGTAGATGGGCTACAGCAGCAGAAGACCACACCGTTTGCCACTCCTGTCAGCTAAGAACGGGTAACGGAGGCTACAATTCACACAGGATCACCAAAATTGGACAATAGAAGATTGGAAAAACGTTGCCTGGTTTAAGTCTTGATTTCAGCTGTGACATTCAGTTGGTAGGGTCAGAATTTTGTGTAAACAACATGAAAGCATGGATCCATCTTGCCTTGTATCAACGGTTCATGGATGTGCAGCCGACAAATCTGCAGCAACTGCGTGATGCTATCGTATCAATATGGACCGAACTCTCTGAGGAATGATTCCAACATCTTGTTGAATTTATGCCATGAAGAATGAAGGCAGTTCTGAAGGCAAAAGGCCGGAGGTGTGCGCGAGAGAGAGAGTGTATGTCTATATATATATAAAATGTGTGTCTATATAAGGGTTCCTTTGTGTTAAAAGGATCAAGGAAGGCTGATGTGCAGTCTGGAGGGGATTTACTAAAATTAAATCTGACAGCATTTGGAACAATTGTGGCAACGTATCTGCTTCTAGCTTCAGCTTGTTCAATTTTGAAAAATTAAAGCTAGAAGCTGATTGGCTGTCATGTGCAACTACTACTCCAAATTCTGGCCTCTTCAAATTCTTTACTGTTTTATGTTGATACTGACTCAACAAAAATGGTCGCCGGAGCCCTATGCTGCAGACACTTCCGGGCTGTTGTATGAATACTATTCCCCCCTAGTGCCTGGTTTGGTGTATCACATGACCTCCCCGCTCACTGTTCTTTCTGTATGAAGTACTAAGCGAGCTACATAGTGATTTTACCGCCATCACATGAGAGCGTGATATGACAGACACAGCAGGAGCAGGGAACACTGACAGGTACAGTAGAACTAGGAGATGGGGACACTGGCATGCTTTCCATGTGATAGGAGCAGCACACACTCAGGGTAGTTGCAGGATGTCTCCTCTTCACTGTCTGTCCTATTCAGGTGATTGTAGAAGTTGTGGCAGAGTTCTGTCATCACTTCTCTCACAAGGTGACAACCTGCTCCCTGTACAGGAAGGGGGTGGAGGGGTCAGCCCCCAGTGAGATCAGATCGCTGTGACACCTTAACCACTTGCTTACCGGGCACTTTCACCCCCGTCCTGCCCAGGCCAATTTTCAGCTTTCAGTGCTGTTGCACTTTGAATGACAGTTGCTCAGTCATGCATCACTGTACCCATATGAAATTATCATTTTTTTGAGATAGAGCTTTCTTTTGGTGATATTCACAACTGGATTTTTTTTATTTTTTGCTAAACAAATGAAAAAAACACAAAACAAATTTCTTAGTTTCATTTATAAAGTTATGCAAATAAGTAATTTTTCTTCTTTACTGATGAGGCGGCACTGGTGAGGCTGCACTGATAGGCGGCACCAATGGGCACTGATTGCACTGCACTAATCATCAGTGCCCTGATTATCAGTGTAAATGTGTGCTGTCATGATTGCTGGTTATTGGCTTTTCTTTCCTCACACAGTTCGGAAAGGAATTGCAGATAACCAGCGTTTTTTTTTTACATGTGATCAGCTGGGATTGGACACAGCTGATCACAGGGTAAAGGGCTTCTGTGATTGGCCCTTTACTTTGATCTGTAATCAGCTGTGTCCAAACAAAGGACAGAGTGATCACAGAGCGTGCCCAAGGGGGCGCACTGGAGGTGTGTTCTGGGAGGATGTCTGTAGACGGCCTCTTAGAACAAGAGAACCACCCTGTAGCCATCTTTAGGCAATGGTGCGGTAATGAAGTGGTTAAAGTGGCCCTCCACACCTACTTTCAAGCCCATCCCCTTCTTTCACTCAGTTGGAACTCTTTTGCGGATTTTCTTTGCTTTTTTGAGGGGACCCTCCACACACTTCCTGGATTCTCATTTGGTTGAGAAGAACATATGCAGCTGCTTGCAACCTCAGCTTACTCCACAGGGAATGCGCTGTAGGATGTCATTAGGGGACCAGCAGTCTCTTCCCGGTTCTTGCAGCCATGACACATGTGCGTCACCAAAGAGGCTGGTTGCAAGAACCAGAAGAGACAGCCGGCTCCAGATGACATCAGAGAAGAAGATGGCTGCTCAGAAGTGAGTGAGCTTTGGCAGATTCCTACATAACACCACTGGATTCAACCGGTATGTGAACATGTTTTCTGTGGACAACCTAGCGAAAAAGGGAAGGTTGGGGGAGAAGTTTCTCTTTAGGCCCATTCACACCGGATACAGTGGGATGCATTTTTGATTGCACTCCAACTGCATAGACAGTCCAACATCTAGCCTATCCTATGGGCATAGTTCACACTCTTGCAGTACAGTGAAAAAAGTACAACGAACTGCATTTTTTTGCACTGCAAACTCACAGGAATGCTCAAAGGAAAAGCAAACTTAGGAAAAATGTGCATCAAATGCAGTAATGCACCTCACTCTGCATGCAAAAAAAACGCAGTAAATACTCAGTTTCTGCTGTGAATGGGCCCTTAAAGCATATCTAATCTCAAGGAAAAAAAATGATAGTGTTTCAGCCTACTGATCCTTAGATGTGGTGGCTGCTACCCTTTTTCTATTTTTACTTTTGTCACTTTATTTTAACATGGTAATTTTGCCATTGACACACTTCCTGTCCCAGGGTGATAACTGTATTGAGCAGTGTTGTCACCCTAGAACAGTGGTCTCCAAACTGTGTGCTGGGGGCCAGATGGGGCCCTTTGCTTGCCTTTATCTGATTCATGGGGCACTTTTCCTCCTAATGTTATGAGACACTATTCTGCCAACTGACATCAGCAACAGGGCACCACTGACACCTCACCCACTGACACGAACGATGGAGCACTATTCCTCCCAATGATACCAACGATGGAGCAGTATTCCTCCCAATGATACCAACGAGGGGGCACTATTTCTCCACCAAGACCAAACGTGGTCATGATTACTTATGTTGATGCCGGGAAAATTTCCACTCCCGCTGGCCACAGTATGCTTCCCCCCCCCCAAAGTCTGCAGGAGAATAAACTGTCCCTTTGTTTAAAAAGTTTGGAGCCCCCAACCAAAGAACAAGGAGTGTGTTAAGACTACATAACTCAACCCTCTCTTCTCCACAACGGGGGGAAGTGTTTTGTAGTCCACGCTAGCAGGGAACAATGCTGACTGATAACAGCACAGAGGCAGAGTACAGAGAGAGTACAACAAGTTATCAGCTCACACAATTGCTGGCTGTATTGACAACTGCTGAACAGTTATAAAACGCATTCAGTGGAATATATAACAGACCAAAGGGGGAGCAAATGGGGACATTTCTTATTAGAGAATTTTGAATTTTTTTTTTTAAAGGAGCCCTGTAAATACAGAACTGCCAGGGCTGGTATTGCTGACCATATTCTGAAAACACCAGTTGCCTGGCCTGAATCCTTACTACTTTATATTACAGACCCAAAATAAGTATGCACCTGATATCATCAAAGTCAGAATACCTGATCTGCATACTTTTTCCAGGCCTGTTACTCAAAAAGCTATGAAACAGAGAATGAACATGATGGCCAGGAACCTGCATTTTCAGAAGAAAATCAGCAGTTGCAATCCCTTTTATTTTTGTTGTGACAGGTGTTCTTCAATCTGTCAGTTTACACAGATTATACTTACATTGGTTCCCTCTCTTACTTTAGGTGAACACAAAATGAGAAGATCAGCAGCTCCAAGTCGGCAGTTGTTGGGGAATCCTGCAAAAAAGCCTTGTTTTACACCACCCATTAAACATAACTCCTTCTCCAATAAGACAACAGATAGCTTGACTACATTGCTAAAGGTAAAAATATGTTATATGCATGTGCATTCTTAAAACATGTCAGAATTAATAGATTGAACTCAAGAAGGACTGTTTTTTGATAAATGGTCATGAGTCAGTGGGCTGTGCAAGCAACAAGTTTTTTTGTTTTTTTTTTAACCTGAAAAGGAGCCATAAAGGCTAATTCCACCTTTCATGCCACATTCATGTTACACCCATATTTAGGGTGCAACATGGTGCCATTCCACAGCTCTTCACCATTAAAGAATACATTTGCCTTTACAAAAAAAAAAGATAAATGTAAATTTTTTTGCAGGTAAAAAAATGCATTTTTTTTTAGGAGCATGTGAAACATTGCACCCACTTATAGCAGATTGTGGGTGTAATGCCATGGTCCTGCAGACTGTCTGTTTGTGCAGCTGTCTGCCTGTATCTCTGATACGGACAAGCAGTTACTAAATGACAGGAAGCTCAATGAACTACCTAGAGCGCTCAACAGTGTGGGTGGGGGGGGGGGGGGGGGTTAGATGCTGAAAGGTGATCTTATCCTTTAAACCACCACAAAAGAGGGTTTTCAAGGGAACACAAGTTCACTGACGTCACCACACTTGTAGTCTGTTTATTCCTTCCTCCAGCTTCATAATCGAAGGTCCGTATTTCCATATGGATCTGGGGCTGGAGGAATAGCCTGCAAGAGCCTTTGCATTGAAACCATGATCCATTGATTGTGCTTGCAATGCTTTTTCAGGCTCCAGTGCAAAAAAAAGCACATATTTTCTTTTTGCAACATGGGTGCATTTATTAACTTTTTAGACCACTGTAACAGTACTGTGCTCTTGGGATCGCTTATCATGCAATCTCTTCTATGGGCCCTGGCCAATGGAAACTATAGTCTGCCTGGAGCAGCCAACCTGCACACTGACACACAGCTGGCTGAAATGTTGGAAAGGGGACAGGTCCTCTTGGGAAGGGGGGAGGGCACCACACCCCCCTCCCTTTCACTGTTACATGACAGCCAGAAAACAGCTGATCAAAACAATAAGAAGCTTATTCATACCTCCAAATAGACAAAGTAGTTGATTTGCTTTTGTATTCCAATTGACTTATATTGGGGGAGAAGGAATCTTGAACTAAAAGCCTGTCAACAGAGGCCTTAAATTTTGCCAATCTGACACTTACATGAAAACTTGTCTAAAGAAAAAAAGCTTTCAGAATTGATTTGAATGAGTTTAGAGATGATGACTCTCTGATGTTCTTTGGAAGTGAATTCCAGAGTTTTGGGGCATAGCAGGAAAAGGCTCTGTCTCCCATTGAGTGTAGGTGAGTAGGACACACACACAGAAGACCAGAATTTGAGGAGTGAAGGTCACGAGGAAGGAGTAAGTTGCTAAACGTTCAGAGAGATAATGGGGTGCCAAGCCATTAAGAGCTTTATAGGTGAGCAAGAGGATCTTAAAGTCTATGCGAAACCTGACAGGTAGCCAGTGCAAGGACTGTAAGATAGGGGTAATATGGTAATTTGTACCAGACCTAGTTAGGATTCTGACTAGTAATCAAAAAATAATCAATTCATTTTGTTTTTGTTAAAGCCCAAGGTTGACAATGTGCCTTCTGAAGTCCATGCAAGAACCTGTGGTGTAGATGCAGATTCCAAAGCAGTCGAACTTTCAGTGTCCAAAGACCAGCTGTGCAGGCCTGCTGTAACTGCTGTTGCAAAGTTTAGACCACTAACAGGTATGATCGGCATTGATAGTCTTACCAGTTCTTAGAGTGATTTGTGTGACAGACTTACTCTCTTCAGCAGTTGTAGTTCCCTTCCACAAAGTGTATCTAAACCTAAGAACAAAAATTAAATACACTATATTGCAAAAGTATTGGCACACCCCTCCAAATCATTGGATTCCGGTGTTCCAGTCACCTCCATGGCCACAGGTGTATAGAATCAAACACCTAGGGATGCAGACTGCTTCTACAAACATTTGTGTGAAAGAATGGGTCGCTCTCAGGAGCTCAGTGAATTCAAGAATGGTACCGTGATAGGTTGTCACCTGTGCAATAAGTCTATCCATGAAATTTCCTTGCTACTAAATATTCCACGGTCAACTGTTAGTGGTATTATAACAAAGTGGAAGCAACTGGGAACAGCAGCAACTCAGCCATGAAGTGGTAGGCCACGTAAAATGACAGAACGGGGTCAGCGCATGCTGAAGCACACAGTGCGCAGAAATTGCCAACTGTCTGCAGAGTCAATAGCTAAAGACCTCCAAACGTCATGTGGCCTTCAGATTAGCACAACAACAGTGCATAGAGAGCTTCATGGAATGGGTTTCCATGGCTGAGCAGCTGCATCCAAGCCTTATATCACCAAGTGCAATGCAAAGCGTCAGATGCAGTGGTGCAAAGCACGCCGCCACTGGACTCTAGAGCAGTGGAGACATTTTCTCTGGAGTGACGAATCACACTTCTCTGTCTGGCAGTCCAATGGACGTGTCTGGGTTTGGCGGTTGCCAGGAGAACGGTACTTGCCTGACTGCATTGTGCCAAGTGTAAAGTTTGGTGGAGGGGGGATTATGGTGTGGGGTTGTTTTTCAGGGGTTGGGCTTGGCCCGTTAGTTCCAGTGAAGGGAACTCTTAAGACATCAGCATACCAAGACATTTTGGACAATTTCATGCTCCCAACTTTGTGGGAACAGTTTGTGGATGACCCCTTCCTGTTCCAACATGACTGCGCACCAGTGCACAACGCAAGGTCCATAAAGACATGGATGAGCGAGTTTGGGATGGAGGAATTTGACTGGCCTGCACAGAGTCCTGACCTCAACACCTTTGGGATGAATTAGAGCGGAGACTGCGAGCCAGGCCTTCTCGTCTGACATCAATGCCTGACCTCACAAATGCGCTTCTGGAAGAATGGTCAAACATTCCCATAGACACACTCCTAAACCTTGTGGACAGCCTTCCCAGAAGAGTTGAAGCTCTTATAGCTGCAAAGGGTGGGCCAACTCAGTATTGAACCCTACGGACTAAGACTGGAATACAAATAAAGTACATATGCTTGTAAAGGCAGGCGTCCCAATACTTTTGCAATATAGTGTATATTGCTGCTTACCAGTCCTTAAATGTGGTGGCTGCATTAGTTTTAATTTTCTGGCAAGTACAGAAAATGCATTTTTTATCTTGCACACAATTGGGTATACTTTTAAAGTGAAGTTTTACCACATTTGCCAAACTCTGGGGGAAATTTCCTTGCAAAGTGAACAACCTATATTCCTTTAGTAAATCAAACCCTTTGTTTCTATACAGAATATTTGTAATTCCCTATGTACTTGTCAGCCCCCTTGGAATATTATTGGAAAAAAGGGGAACATCAGTAAAAAAAAAATAAAATAAAAGTCAGCAGCTATGAATATTGTAGGTGCTAATTTTAATACACTGCTCAAAAAAATGAAAGGAACACTTTTTAATCAGAGTATAGCATCAAGTCAGTTAAACTCCTGAGATATTGATCTGGTCAGTTAAGTAGCAGAGGGGGTTGTTAATCAGTTTCAGCTGCTTTGGTGTTAATGAAATTAACAACAGATGTACTAGATAGGCAACAATGAGACGACCCCCAAAACAGGAATGGTTTTACAGGTGGAAGCCACGGACATTTTTTTTTTTCCTGCTCACCTTTTCTGACTGATTTTCACTAGTTTTGCATTTGACTATTGTTAGTGTCACTAGTGGTAGCTTGAGGCGATACATGGACACTGCAGAGGTTGCACAGGCAGTCCAACTCCTCGAGGATGGCACATCAATACGTGCCATTACCAGAAGGTTTGCGGTGTCTCCCAGCAAAGTCTCAAGAGCATGGAGGAGATTTCAGGAGACAGGCAGTTACTCTAGGAGAGCTGAACAGGGCCGCAGAAGGTCCTTAACCCATCAGCAGGACTGGTATCTGCTCCTTTATGCAAGGAGGAACAGGATGAGCACTGACAGAGCCCTTCAAAATGACCTCCAGCAGGCCACTGCTATGAATGTCTCTGACCAAACAATCAGAAACAGACTTCATGATGGTGGGCTGAGGGCCCGACGACCTCAATTGGGCCCTGTGCTCACTTCCCAGCACCATAGAGCTTGGTTGGCATTTGCCACTGAACACCAGAATTGGCAGGTCCGCCACTGGCGCCCTGTGCTTTTTACAGATGAGAGCAGGTTTTCCCTGAGCACATGTGACAGACGTGAAAGGGTCTGGAGAAGCCGTGGAGAACGTTATGCTGCCTGTAACATTGTTCAGCATGACCATTTTGGTGGAGGGTCAGTGATGGTCTGGGGAGGCATATCCATGGAGGGACGTACAGACCTCTACAGGCTAGACAATGGCACCCTGACCCTGGTATTGGGATGAAATCCTTGGACCCATTGTCAGATCCTATGCTGGTGCATTGGGTCCTGCGTTCCTCCTGGTGCACAACAATGCCCGACCTCATGTAGTGAGAGTATGCAGGCAGTTCCTGGAGGATGAAGTAATTGATACCATTGAATGGCCCCCACGCTCGCCTGAGCTAAATCCAATAGAACAACTCTAGGATATCATGTTTTGGTCCACTTGACACCGCCAGGTTGCACCTCAGACTGTCAAGGAGCTCAGTGATGCCCTGGTCCAGATCTGGGAGGAAATACCCCAGGACACCATCTGTTGTCTCACTAGGAGCATGCCCTGACATTGTCAGGCATGCATACAAGCACATGGGGGTCATACAAACTACTGAAAACCATTTTGAGTTGCTGCAATGAAATTTCAGCAAAATGGACTAGCCTGCTGCATAATTTTTTCACTTTAATTTTTGGGGTGTCTTTGAATTCAGTCCTCTGTAGGCTAATAATTTTAATTTCCATCAAATGATGGGGCATCCTTACATTCCTAACACATTACCCAGTCCATATCAATATAGATATCCACAATTTTATTTTTCCCCATTAAGATCTGATGTGTTTTCAAAGTGTTCCTTTTTTTTGAGCAGTTTTGACACTTACCAGTCCAGCAACTCACTGCTGTCTTCACTGGGGCTGGTTCTGTTCCAGTCTTCAGGTCCTTGGCACTGCCAGCTTGACTGTCGGAAGCTGGCTGTGACTTCCTCCTGATTCTTCACAGCCAGCTCCCCACTGTGCATGTACAAGACGCGCTGTGCATTCTGAATGATTTTGCAGTCTCCTGGGACAGATGACATGTCCCATGAGTTTGCGGATGTTTAGGGCCAAGCCGATCAGAAGTGGAAGCAAGTTCCTGCCAGAGAGTAGGTAGTCGCTCCCTAAAAAAGAAAAAGAAAAAAAAAAGGAAGGGGGGAGGAGGAAGATTGGTGGAACTTCCTTTTGCATATGAATTTAGTTTTAAAGTGAAACTTTAGCTAAAATACTAAAAATGGCCGAACAGGCAGGGATTTTAATGCAAAAGAGAAATGCTTTGTCACTTCTCCATTAAAGTTACTTACCTGCTTCTCCACCCCTGCACAGTGAGCCATGCATGCGCAGTTTACTGTACAAATTTGGCAATGCAAATCTGAGTGACCCCCATCCCTGCCCAGCCAATGACTGCGGCCGACAATCAAAACCCGGCCGCTCAAAGATATCAGAGGCTGGAAAGGGAGCATAAGGACGTTGCATCTCTGGAACTGAGATGAGTAAAGTTCTGCTTTAAGGGTGAATTCACACCACAATGCAGAGCAGCCGGAAAGATTCAACGCTCCATCCCTTGCTGTGTTGCTGGCTGCGCTAGAGGACAATGTGGTGCGCCATTCAGTTCATCACACGACTCCCTTTTTTTTGTACAAGCCTTTTTTGAAGTGTACAATGTCCCTAACGTTGCAGTGTGATTCAGCCTGGTGCGCTGTGATAAAATGCAGCAGTCTGCATTTTACCGTAGCACGTTGCAACACGGCGCTAGATGGCCTTGCAGTGGGAATGGGACACATATATGTCTCTACAGTGACAGTCATTTTACCAAGCGGTAAAACGTCTGTCATCGAATATAGTGGGAACTGGCTCTAAGTAAAACATCTATTTAAAAAAAGACATGTTTGAAGGCTCTGTCCTCTGCAGTGAGGGTTTGTACCACTGATGGCACAAGCTCCACAGTTTGGGAAACACTGATGTGTGGATTTGTACGCAAAAGCATATTTATTTCATGTTTATGCTGTGTTGATTGCATGTTGTACAGTACTGTATGTGCATTTGCATGCAATAGTACTTGATGCTTACAATTCAGCTTTGCATAAATGTGTCGTGTAGAAAATCAAGTATAGACATTCCATTTGTGTATCCATGTTTACAGTGTTGTTATTCATTTTTGCAATGTTTTGTATGTTGCTCCAAATTAAAAAACAGATTAGACAGGACCTCTTACTGACTAGAGAGTCTCGTTAATCTTTTATTTTGTGCTTGATAAAATATACTTTGTTGTGTGTAAGAGTCCTAATCAGAAATTGACTTGTTTCAAAAGGTTTGAATTATGTTTGTTGTGATTGTTTACTTTATATGTCTACAGTACTTTTACAGAAGTAGACTAATGCAGAATGTAGGAGCCATTAGGGCCAATCTAGGCAGTTTTAAGTTGCCAGAGAACATGTGTTTTCACTAACGTTGAAAGAGAAGGCAGCAGCTGTAATTTGTTAAGCTCCTAGAATTTGTCCATCCCTGGTGTTCAATGTAAAGTAAACAGTCACAGGTTTGCTTAATAAATGCAATAACCTTACCCTGCGATGGTTTGGGGGCTACTATTCAT